GTTAAAATGTGCTAAATATATACACTGCAAAAAACAAAAAAAAAGAGGAGTAAAAGTAGCTCACGACTTGTTTTATTTTTTTAAAGTAGCTCTCATCCTAAAAAAGGTTGGAGACCCCTGTTATAGAACGATACATTTGACAATTTTAAGCTTGGCCTACCATTTTATTGGAGTGATAAGGAACAGGTGGGACTTGAAAAGGCCCACCTGTTCCGGTGCCCTTGAGCAAGGCACCGGACATCCCCCTTCCCCCCTCACTCCCATTGCTCCCCGGGCTCTGTACAATAGCTGCCCACTGCTCCTAGTACTAGACTCCTGGTACTAGGATGGGTTAAATGCAGGGGCCAAATCTCACTGTGTGTGATGTGTGACCATTAAAGAGGGTGATTCCCTCCGATTCTGATGGAGTTCGAATTGAAGTTCACTGCAATTGACATAATTGGATGCAATTCGTACTGTACCTCTCTGTCCAGGGCTTGGTTTTTGACAAAGACAGTCCCATCTTGAGAAATGTCGAACATCCCATGAGGTGGGCTTTGATCAAGGATAGTATAGGCGATCAGAGAGTTCTCATTCCCTGGCTCATCAGCATCAGTTGCCATTATTTTCATAACTGAAGTGCCTGTAAAAGAGGAAATAAGGAGGTAGAGCAGGTTGTCCAGAAATTGGAAGATCTGTTTTGCGCTTTGTATGGCAGAATATGTCTGGACAGTCCCCAAACTTGAAAATGAATTGCAGTTTTGTTGTATAAAATATATATTTATATCCAGTAGGCTATTTTCACCAATAGACAACAAATACATTATCCTTGAGACCTGAAGATTGTGTAAAGTATATTTTTACTCTAATATGTGTAGCTGACTTTGTTCACCTTTAAAGACAAGGGGCTCGAAAGACTTGTAATTTCAGCAGATCATCGAATCCCATCTTTAATTTATTTTGTATTTATTAAGGGAAAATGTACCAATATTTTAACACGAGCACTTTAGTTCATCATGTAAATGTGCCAAATACAGCCATAAATGCTTCATCTGCATTCCTTGGCAGATTATTGGCATTAAAAGAAGACATAAAATAGTACATAATCATGAGCACAATAACAGGACATAAGCACAGAAAAAACATGAGCACAATTAAAACACATGAGCACAGTTGAAGCACAATTAGGCACATAATAAAGCCAACACCTTTTCATGCGTTGCTCATTGTTTAGAGTTGGGTGAGAAATTTGAAATGTGAGAATGGGGTATGAATTGAGAGGCAACATCTACGACTGCATTGTAAAAAAAGTAGTCCTTTTAAAAGAACATTGTCAAATGATAGCCAATGGGTTCTGAGATTGCATTAAGGGCAATGCATGCTGCCTCTTATTCTTTGCAAACGGACTGCTTACTGCATACAACTGCATTAATATGCGGAATCTGTTTTTAGAGATTCATAATTTTTTTTTAAATGACAGTAGGCCTATAGTATTATTCTGATCGAAAGGTGGACAAGGCTGCTAATAAACACAGCTATGCTCTAACAATCACTGAAATGAATAAGACTAACAGATAGTAAACATCACTGTTAACAAGCTAACCCTGCAATCTATTAGACCCTCCAGAAAAACGCGATTCTGCGATCGCAGAATTGACCGCATAATCAGCAAAATGGCGCAGATTTTTAAAAGGCCGCATATTTATCAAAAGGCCGCATAATCCCCGCATTTTTCCACACAAAGTTGAGAAAAAAAAAAGTTAACTCGTCTTGACGTGACGTCATCAGCTCGCGCATCACAGAATGTAAACAATACTGTATAGAGTGAACGTGTGGAGCTCACACGATAGGGAAAACACCAAGATGAAAAAATCTAATCTGAGACTGCCAAGGCACACCATTTCTACTAAAGACCGGGCAAAAAGTGGGGGGAAACTATTCTGCACCCCGTGCAACTGTGTGTTGGAGCATAAGAGAAAATCGACGGTGACGACCCACTTTGATTCATTCAAACATTCGAAAATTCTTTCTGCTGCTGCGGACAAGAAAGCCAAACAACTCACGTTCACCAAGGCATCAACATCCACAACCCTTTCGAGGGCTACAAGAAACGAAGTGAGTAGCCTACATAGCCTACAAGATTGAAGCTGGTCAGATAACGAACGAGTAAATGAAAACAGAATGGGGCGGAGAAGTGTGTGTGTGTGTGTGTGTGGGGGGGGGTGTGTGTGTGTGTGTGGGGGGGGGTGTGTGTGTGTGTGTGTGTGAGATTAAAATAGCCCAATTGCTTTTACAATAAATAAACATTGAATGTGTTTAATTGAACAGTAAAGGGGTTTAACGTTAGTGGCAGGTTGTGTGTGAGAGAGAATAAATAAGACAGCCCAATATTTTTAAATCTTTTTTATTCTTTTTCCCGCATATTTAGCATATTTTTGCAACTTTCCGCATATTTCGCAACTTCCCGCAATTTCACCGCATAAAATCACATAAAACCCCCGCATGTTTAATCGCATAATCAAGGATTTTAGCCCGCATAATCAAGGAATTTAGCCCGCATAATCAAGGATTTTAGCCCGCATAATAAAGGAATTTAGCCCGCTTAATCAAGGATTTTTGGCTGCGTTTTTCTGGAGGGTCTAATCTATAACCGTTTATCATCAGAGGGTTGCTGATGGGGGAAACATGGATAGGTATCGATGTGAAATAAACCCTAACCCTTACCCCAATCCATTATTTAAGCAAACCATTAAAGATTGCATTGCCATCTCAAAACAGGATCGACATTTGTTAAAATTTACCAGAAAAGAAAATATCTTACCTAGAGGACTAATCTCAGTTACCTCCCCGACCTTCATGACTGCAAACACTGGTGGATTGTCGTTCTGGTCTTTTACTTTGAACCGTATGTCAACATTTTCCTCTGCAAGCCTGCCATCCTTGTACTTAGCAATACCTGACAGCTAAAACAGTAGATTCAAATGTTGCTGTCTTCATCAAATGTATTAGCAGTTTAATGTACACACATGAATAGCCTGTGACATTGATGTTTTGCATCTGACTGTAATATATTTTAATATCTGTGAAATGCACAGAAGAAGTATAACTCACATTGTAAGTGTCAATTAACTCCCTGTCCAGAACTTTGGTTACACGAATGTCTCCAGTTATATGGTCGACTACAAACACATTGAAGGGTTGTTGGTTTGCGCCAATGCCTTCTAGGGAGTATACAATATTTCCGCTGCCGTCATCAAAATCCGAATGAATCTGAAACACATGCAGAGCTGATTCAGTTAAACACACTAATTCACATTCACCATTCCACTGCACCAGAAGGAACAACAAAAACATTTTAACCAGGAAAAATAAAAATGTTTTAATATATCTTTCATGGTGATAAAAACAACCAAAAACTCAAAATCTTCATTTTATATACGTCTAAGAATGCTACTGTGTCTTCAAAATTGTCTGGCTTCTTGTGCTCTCTTTTAGAAAACTCCACCCTGCAGGTACAGGCTTGTCTGTGGTAATTAGTCTCCATTTTGTTGAGCATGCTGAAATGTTCCAGTAGCCCCCTCTGGTGACTTGTTTTTATTATATTTTTGCAGATCTTTTCATCTCAATGTCAGGTAAACACTCCTGAAACTTCTGGAAACCTCATTAAATGGTTATATTTATAAAAATATGATGCAAAAAATGCTATATATGATCACGTTAGCATTCCATCCATTCATAAGTATTTACACTTAATCCAAAATGATTGTATATTTGATATCCTAACCCTAGTCCTTGATTTGTAAAGCCTTTCAGAGAGTTTAAATTAAAGAGCAATGACTCACCTTGGCAACAGTTTCCTGAGTGTAGTCTTCATTTTCCATCAATTGCTTTGGCGGGGGAATCCATAATCTTTTCCTTCTTACCAAATTGTCTTCAGAGTTGGCCTTCACCACAGCAACAGTCTGCAGCTGTAAAGCAATAGATGAAGTCAAGAGTGTGAAAAATAAGGATGCAATCGTGTCAGATTGATTAGCACAGAGATGTTAAAAAACAATAATCATCCAGGATGCTTACAAAAAACCCAATGTACCTCAAGATCTGACTTCCTTTAAAACAGAAAAGATAATCTCTAGGACAGGAGAAGGTCTACTTTGTCACAGGATGCTGCTCTCTAAAAAATGTACTGAAAGAAGAATACACTCAAACTAGTTTCAACAACAGTTTCAAGATGGCCCCCACACTCCAGGACAATGGTGCCAAGCCAAATTCCTGCTAATAGTAAGAAATCAACCATCTACTGCTATACATACAATAAAAAAAATAAAATATTTTGCTTATAGAAAGCAATAAAAACAATCAGTGACTTTAGGCCTTATTGTGTATGCCAACACATTACTGCTACAGTACGTTTGTTGTGTACCACTTATCTTGTACCTGTGTTTGCTTTCACGTAACTCAAACTAAAATACGTCAGAAAGAAAGAGTCTCGAAGCAATAACGCAATTAGAAAAGCAAATGTGGCTTACCCCATGAATCTCATAACATGACAGCAATATGACAACCTCATGGTTGAAGATCTAGAAACCATCATTAACAACAGTCGGGTGGAGAACGATTGAATTTTGCTACAATTAATTTATGTTTTAATAAACACCAAATAGAAGCCACAGCTTATCCAGGACTAAATAAACGAATTGAGTTAAGGTTCTTTCTTGAAGTTCCTGTGAAACAAGTGCCTGAAAATGATAATAATATTATACCTTTATTGTATTATATTTTTATTCTAGACTGTCTTGATAACTTGATATAAATGTTAACTTATTCCGTTTATTTTATCCTGTTCTTTCTTCTATGCTTTTTGGAGCCATCTAGTGGTCACACATCCAATTTACCACCAGGTGAATTTATTAGCTTTTTGTTCAGGTGCTTTCGTTATTTTATTATTATGAATAGTTAATTAAGTTATTATTTATCCATTTCACCTAAACTGGTCAATAATCTTGTTATTGTGAAATATCACTATTTATTTCACATTGATTGGCTTTTAAAGAGAAAACACACCCTAGAAATTAGGGCTACGGATTTACATCCATTATCTCAATTTTCAATGAAACATCCGTTCGACTAACACAGGTGTTTCCAGTTATTCTGGTGGATTAGGGCCCACCTTGTTTGAACTTGGTGGAGCTATGCACCATCAGCCTTGACATTTTGAAGTGGTGTCATGTTCAAAGAAAAACAAAACAAACAGTAAATAGACAGTAGGGTGTCAGTTGTCCAGAGTCTATACATGCACAGACAGTCCTGAGATGAGGTCTGAACTTTGGCACCCTATTCATGTATCAAAAGAGGAATTGCATTAACTTTCGGTGAATTGTTCAGGGTGTAGCCTGCTGACTGTTGCCTGTAGTGGGGCACCTAGGTTAAACTAATTGCATTTTGCAATAAAAGAAACACATTTGGCACTGATACAGGTTTAAATGTAATGCAACAATATATCTCAGGGTTAAACAGGGCTGAATATGGAAATCTGATTTTATGACTTGCCAGGTAGAATATTTGTTTTAGGTTTTAAACTCCCGTTGGCTGTGGAATTGTGTTTGCAGGGCAGGTTCCCTGATCCTGGGGAAAGTTTGTTGGCAAAATAAAAATATGTCAAATATTTCATTTGCAGAGCGATAAAAACATATCCAGTTGGAATGTCATGCTACTTCAGCTAGGTCCATTATTGTATTATCACTAGTAACACCTGTGACCTACCACTTCTTGTTTTAACACAATATATAACACACTTATCAATACAACAAGGACCCATTCTAGGACTGAATGCTATGTTCAGGCTCCAGCTAACTAGCCAACTCTATACCATGGCTCACAAGAAAATAGGAAAAGACAAGGAAAGTTCCACCTTATCACCAAACAGCAAGAGAAACTGACATTCCAACTTGATAACAAGACACCCCGATAAATCATGAGGTAATGAGGTCTGTGATATCTTATTTTTGATCAAAATCTCTCTTTGCATTTTACACATTTGTTTCAAATGAAAGCCTGGTTTTCAGCCAAGAACAAAAACCTTAAGAAAACAGATCCCTCTTGCAGTGATACCACCCTAACCTGCTCTCCTCCGTTGCTAAAGAAAATAAGTAAACAAAGGAAACCGCACTTGATCAAGAATCATGCAGCATGAGAAACAACCGTTTTTTATGGTATAGAGAGCAAACACAGGCGGACAACCCCAGGCAGCTGATTAAAGGCTTTAGATTAGTTCAAAATCATTGAACCACTAGCAGAAGCTATCCATCAATTAATACACCTAAAAGGAATTAAAACAGAACATATACAAGATCAACATCTATGCAGACAACATTGTACTTTTCACTTCAAATGGTTAACGTTTTTGCCAATACTCTGTCAAAGATATCATTGTTGTGGGAAGAAGTCACTTGTATGTATTACAACTAGGAAGCTGACAGTGTTTTTTCCACGGGACACAGCATGAAGTTGGATACTATGAGAAAAATATCCAACTGTCACTGTGTGTCAAGAGGAGACATTGACGCACCCAGCCACTCCCTGGGGATTAACATGAGCCTCGCCTGTTCGGTCATGAATAGGCCAAACAAGACAACACAACAGGTGTGATGAATATAGGGCTCAGATGACTCACCAGGTACATTTATGAAAAACTGCTGAGCACATACAACGTAATTATTCATCTAGGAAAATACCTCTAGGGACACTCCTATCCTTTCCTCAATTGAATACGTATTTAGTAATGCAAATGTGATTGAAGATGGTTTTGAACAAGCCCTCACTTGATCGACCTTTAATACAATGCCTCGCAAAAGTGTTCACATCCCTTGGCATATTTATTGAATTAAAATGACATGTAATCAAAATCATTAAAAAAATTAAAACAAATCAATAAATCAAAAATACTCCTGAGCTAGTAAGTGTCACAGCAGAAATCTGAGTATCTGTCCATAGAACCAATTTATGCCATACACTCCACACAGCTTAGCTTTATGGAAAAGTCACCCAAAAAAAAGACATTGATAAGAAAGAAATATGAAAACACTTTTGGATTTGGCTAAAAGGCATGTGAAAAAAAGGTACTTTAATATATATAAGGCTGAAATGTTACTTTTTGTCCATCAAGGAAAACTCTTTTTGTAGCGCAAACACAACAACTCTCATCACCATGACAACACTATCCCTACAGCAAAGCATGGTGGTGGCAGCATCATGTTGTGGGGATGTTTTTCATGGGATGGGACTGGGAAACTGGCCCGAATTGAATGGTGCTAAATACAAGGACAATTCCAGAGAAAAATGTGTCTGCCAGAGATTTGAGGCTAGGACGGAGTTCACCTTCAGCAGGAAAGATGAATCTTACCGCTAAAGCAACACTTGAGTGGTTTAAGGGGGAATTATTTAAGTGTCTCGGAACTGCCTAGTCCAGGGTCTTATAATAATAATAATTATTAAAACAGAAAAACACCCTCAAGACATAATAATAATAATAATTATAATAGATTACATTTGTATAGCGCCTTTCAAGGGACCCAACGCCGCCTAACTTTTACTATTGTATGAGCCATTTCGCCCCCTTTGCCACAAATAATGTTTGATAACAAAGCTTATAAAGTTATATCTATATTTGTACATTTACAAAAGCTACATATTGTTGCATGTATTAAAGAATGACAGTAAAGCAAACTGTTGTTTATTGTTACTTATAGAATCTGTACCGTATAACAGCGCTGTATGTTTGATATAGTTTATATTAAACTCATCACAGAGTATGCTGCAGCTGAATTGTTGCCATTTTAATGGCCCAGTTCTTTATGGTCTTTAGAGACGTCAACTTATTTCTGAACAATTTCGCTTTTTACTTTTTGAAGTCCGAAAATAGATGCTCTGATATTGTAATTCACGATATTTCTTTCCATGCCTTAATATCTCCTGAGCAGCCAAAAAAAAAGCAGTAGTGGTTGAGTTTCAAGACTTGATATATTGAAAGATTTTTGCTCTGCTCAGCTTTCTGGCTAAGCTCCGAAAACGATCTTATTCATTATTTTTGGGGATTTATCCATGATCATTTTACTGACATCGGGTGACGGTTACTCAGGATAAAAATCGCAGTGGGTAGACTTAGTAAGATGTGACACGCAGCCTATTTCAGTTGGCGAGTTTCTGAAACAGTTTTTGTTATTTCAGTAGTAGGCCTATCACCTCAAACTATAATAATAGGTGTTACATTAGAAAGACTGTCCACTGTACAACAGGAGGTACATTTAAATAGGCAATATTTATGTCAATAGTTATCAAGGCTAAAGGGAGCCACTGCAGAGGGGCAAAAGAGCAGCAAAAGCGGTTTAAAGCGGTTGGCATGTTTAGTGTAAAATAAACAAGTACGAAAAAATTACTTTTCCTCGACCATGTTTCTGTTTGACACCGCCATGGCAGCAGGTAGGTCTAAATAAGAAGTAGCTGATAAGACTAAGTAAACAAGTCATTCTTTCATCAGCGTAGTATTATTTGGTTTACTGGGTTTGAATCTTTTTGACACAAGGCAGCATTCACAACAAACTTGACATTTTTTGAAACAAAGTTCAGTTAACAATAGAAAACATAGAAAAAGACATAACTCCTTCTGTAGCCTACTCACTGTCAAAAGTAGCAAAAAGACGTGCGAGGAAATCCCGATCATGACTAGAGAAAGTCCCAGTGCTAAGTGAAACAAGCTTTACGAGTCCCAGACAGAATGTGAGCTGATGGAGGCTAAGAGGAGGCTTATGAAAGAGGATTGCTCCCCCACACAAACACACCCTCAAGACATGAATACAATGGTGTGTATGTGGGTGCTACGCAACTTGCAGTCACTGAAAAACAAATGGTGGAATTTACTTGGAAGCTACAAAGTGCTTGTAGGTGTACACTTATCGTAAAATAAGCATATTGACAAGCTAAAAAAAAAACTAGTCTTGACTGGTCTGTACCAGATAAAATGTCTTTTATACATATTAGCACTATGCCAGCTAGCAAGCTATCAGAATCAGAATCAGAATACCTTTAGTAGTCCCACAGAGGGGAAATTTGCATCGTTACAGCAGGAAAGAGCCACAGACAGCTTAATGTTACCTATGTTAAGAAAAAAGTACTAAGTTATGATATAATAGAAAAAATATAATATAAACAAATACAAGTAAAAGAAAAAATACTTTCCAAAATACAAATCCTGTAACAGTTCTTCGAATTTATCAGCCAGGTATATATTACACAGTTATTAATGGCTTATATTTATATAATGTAATGTATATATTGCACATATAGCACATATTGCACATAGTATGATTGTATTTAACTGCAGCAAGTTACACAATTTACAAGATACAAAATGCAAAACAAAACACTATGAGTGTGTATTGCCTCTGGACTACCTGTTATTGCAATGTATAGAAATGTTATGTTGAATTTTGAGAAACATCTATTAGGCCTGAAGTAATACAATCATTGGCTTTAAGTGCGGCACCAATTGTATCGCAATATAGAGAAGAATGCAAACCCTGAATGAAGAAAATCATACCATCAGAAGGAAAGAGAGAGGCAGGAAAGAGGAAACCAATGTATACACTTAGTGAGAGAGGAACGTGAAGTATGACAAAGGATGAAAAGGATGCTTATGTTGGCCAGGTTCCTGGGACAGCATCATTGGGATGGGCAGATCATTTGCATATTGCAAGAATCACAAGCTCTGAACAGGTGATCATTACAGATTGAGCCGTCTGTTTGTATGCTCAAGAGTTTTGACAGTGATGAACAGTCCTCCCCCAAAACAGAAAGTGAAAACTAGTATGTATCTTTAACCAACTGACCTTTTGTAGTTAAAAGTCTTTATCCACCCCTTTGTTCAAATTTTTTCCCAAGTTCGAAAAACATTTTGATGCATTATTTTCTGATAAAATCGAAAGGATAACCAGATATATTTGTCGTTGATTTTTATTTAGAAAATACAGTTCAACTGTTGTATATCACAAAGGGAAGCAAAGTACAATCATTTGTATCAAAAAACCTTTGTACTTTAAATTCATCCTTGACATGGTGGACATATTTTCCAAAGGGCTCATTTATTATCTGCTTGTAGTTAATTTGTAATAAATGCTGGAGCCTGCATATCAACAACGTTTCCATCCGAACGCTCTGGGCTGAAAAAGGAGCTTCACCATGTCTTCACCATGAGCCAGAGTCTTTTGGAGGGTCCCTGTGCTGAGGAGGACGTCATGGCTTGTTCCTATGCATAAGACGCTGTGTCCCTATGGCTACAAGGACTTGTATATGGACTGACAGATAACAGGTTTGTAACAGGTCCTCCTGCATTTACCTCTGTTAATTGATCAGTGACTCATCTATATTTTTCAAATAGACAGGGACAAGATACAGCCTGTATTTAAACGATGTTTTTTTAACAACAGATATCAATCAGAGGATATGGCAGATTACAAGATTTCACATGTTGTTCAATCATGTCCTTGCAAGCCTCCAAAGTATCTGGAGTGCTTTCTGGAGACACAATTAACATTCTTCCCAACGTTGCAAGAGTAGAAAAAGGTAGAATCGGTATATAACATAACTACCATGTCAATCCCAAAATATGCACTGATGCTGTCACACCCAGGGAACTGACAGTGAAACTTGAAAACATTCAGTCCAAAATACGTGAAACAAAAATGCTGGAATTAGCAAATATTTTTACCAGTAGTCCCACATACAAGTCACAAAATATAAGTTTAAATAAATACACATTACACTAGTGTAAACGACAACATTCATTGTACTACAGTTTAAGATTGAATGCAAAGTGAAATTTTAGCTTTACGCCAGTTTGATGCAAATAAAGTAAACATAAACATTGCTGTGGTTAAAGCAACAATGTTGCTATATGTACAGCAGAGAGGGTTGGTTCGTATACATACATTTATTCTGCTTTGTACGTTGTGGAAAACGCAGATACATGACAATACCTCTCTAGCTTACACTACAGCGGCATACCAGGAATTTGAACGGGAAGAAAATGTATTTCCATGAAAATCTGTTTCCTGTCAACCCTGCGTTGTCACCTAATGCCTCTCCTATTTTTGTAATTGTGTCGAAAGTTAGGTGGAGACAGCTTGACAGCAGGGTGTGGTCATTTCAGGTTTCAATAAACTGTTGTGGATTAAGTAGTAGATTGTTGTATTTCCATGTTATGCTTCTTTCTACTATTCCAAAATTGTCCAATATTGTAATTTTTTTCATCACACCATTAAGTTAAAGCTTTACTTACGAGTTCATTTGTCTTCTTTAAATTATGTATCTATAATCTAAACCGGCAAACATATTTTTATATATTATTATACAGTACATTGGCCATATGTTATATTGAGAGTGAGCAATTAAGTCTCAGATGAGCTATAACAGAGCAAGACTAGCTGACTTGTGCTGAACTTAATGTCTGAATGAATAATTCAAAAAAATAAAATCTGAAGTTTTAGAGGCCAAAAGATTGATATGTTTGATTAGTATGGATAACAGTGTTGATTATTACCTGGGAGCAAAACAGGCTTATGTTTCTTGCCTTTTTCTTTTTCAGGAGAAACCCTGAGCCTCTACGGACAAAGCTTTGGGGCTGTGCCGGTTAACAGGAAGAAAAAGAGGTTCAAAAGCAATCCCCAAAGCAAAGGCCCACCCTCAGACATATAAAGGCTGTTCCTCTTCCACTGAGGATGCTGGGATATCTACAGTAGCCAGCATTAACATCAACTCTGAAGCTGAATAGAGGAAGATACTGAAAGAGGAAGTATCAGGAAACAAAGAGATCCAGCAAGAGGGTTAGAAAGAGACTCAGTTAGACCTCATCTGATGACAACACCTCCTCGTCAGTCAGCACTGCCACACTGTTAGTTGAGACAGGAACAATTAACAATATCAAAATGTATCAATTTATTTATACCGATAAATCCCTTTTATCAAATTATATTTTAAATTCATAAAGGAAATGAAAGATCTGAACAAGTATAATAAGCGTATTTGTGTTGTGTCTGCAGCTGATTTCAAGGCCAAGTACATTCTTTACCACACAGAAGACAATTTGCCTGTTAAGATACTACACACACACCAGTGGCGGCCGGCCCATAGGGGCGCCGCCCCACCTCTTCCTACATTCTAGATAATATTTGTATACATTTCTTTTAATGAAAAAGGTACATATTATATAGTTGGTGTCAGTTAAAAGTATAATCTACAATAAAATATCGATAAAAATTGATAACCCTGTTTTACGATTTCTAAAGTTACCTATAATTCACGTGTTTCCTGTTTGGGGCGCAGAAATCTTTGCCCATAGACTCTCGTTATAAGTGGTGCATGGTGGTCCTTAGACAGCTCTTTAGTCTTGCCCATGGTCGAGAGGTTAGAATCTGATTTATTGATTCTGTTGGCCGGTGTCTTTTATACAGGTATATATATATATATATATAATATACGTTGATATTAGGAGAAATTGACTTATGTAACCGGTCTGTGGGAGCCAGAATTATTGTTGGTTGCAAGGGGATCAAATACTTATTTCCCAAAGAGTAATGCAAATCAATTCTTATCCTTTATATAATGTCAATTTCTGGATTTTTTTTTTATATTCTTAGTCTCACTGTTAAAATAAACCTACCATTAAAATGATAGACTGTTCATATCTTTGGCAGTGGGCAAACTTACTAAATCTGCAAGGGATCAAATACTTATTTCCTCCACTATGTACATAAAAAGCTCCATGATGACTTTCTCTTTTCTTTTATATACGAAGGAACTGGTAGGGAAAAAGATGATGATCCCAATTGAGGTAGTGCTGCTGCTTAAACTCCAGCCAGCAGCAGGAGAGACCAGTGCAGCGATCACCCTGCTGGACTGGTATAACCTTGGCTCAAAGCTCATTCTCTCATTATTTGCGTGGCTGTGTGTATGGTAGGGACCATACACAGGAGTGTTTCCTGCATGGGAGTTACAGGGCTGAACCCATGACTTTATGGCAGATTGGTAGTGTGCTGTTTGGGATTCACATTACTATGTCAACAGCAGCTCTGATATCAGTGTTGACACTGTCCTTAGAAAAGGTCCTATTGTGAGTAAAACACTTAGCAGTGGTGATGCTGAATCAAGCACAAACATTAATTATAGGGTGTCAAAGGAGCAAGGCCAAATGCCATTATGTCGCCAATCCCAGATAATTATCTTATATTGTAACACAAAAACATGTTTCAATCTTTCCCATCCACCACGTGCGTGGTTACACAGGAGGGGACGCTACATAGTTTGTTAGACAGTTAGCTTACGTAAACTGTGGAGTCTATTTTTATATAACATTACAAGAGGGATTGTTATTATTACATTATATGCTTATTGTCTGTCTCTCTGAAGAACCAGCACCTTACCGTGGTAGAGAGGTTTGTGTGCCCTGATGAACCTGGGGGCTGTGTTGTCTGGAACCTTGTGTTCCTGGTAGGGTCTCCCATGGCAAATTGGTCTCAGGCAAGGGGCCAGACTAAGATTGGTTCACAAGACCTCATGAAAGACG